AACAAAAAAAAAAAAAACATTTTCAAATTTGCCACCTATTTTTTAACTAACAAATTACCAAAGCAGTTATTGAAAGACATTTTGTGATATCTCAGCTTTACATAATTGAGTATTATGGCAGAATGTTTTTAATGACTCTAAATACACAGCTTAACACAGACAAAGGGTGCAATATATTTATTTAAAAATAACCCCAAAATTATCTTCAAGGCAAGTGATGTTCGGTTAGGGTTTTCACGTAAATAAGTTACACAGAATCAATGTCCAGATTTGTCAAAAGTCAAAAGAAGGTGCTTATTCATATTAACAACTAGTCCGCTAACCAATTTGAGTTTGAATGAGCGGAAGGGTCATATTATCTCAAACTTTCTATGACAGTCATCTTAAGAATGCAGTACGGTGTTACCTGATGATCACAACGGATGCGTTCAATGTCGGGTACAAATAGTAATGGAAGACAGAGATATTTAAATATGATGTTGATCCTGGGTCGAAGAAGATCTGAGAAGTACTCGATCTATACTGACATTGAATTTAACATGCCATACAAAATTTAAAATAAACTTCAAAATTTCACAATAAAAAGAAATTTTTCATTTTTTCAAATTAAATACTTTATTTTAACTTTTACATCAGGGTGAAAAACACACCACACAAATAGTACATATTTATATTAAAAAACCTTTAAAGTATGAGATTGAAACGATCTTCCTGTCTGATAAGGACAGGTTAAGAAACGCTTAACTCAAAGCAATTATTTCAAATAAACTCTCCACAAAAGAACACAAATTATGGTCCAAACATTTGCTGCTCGTCAGCTCGTCAGCTAACACATCATAACCAAAGGGAAGATTAGTCTCATTTCGTGGGAAAACTTGTTTTCACTTTACACGTTTTATTGATCTCTTTTGGCACTGCTTTTTGAATAACTCTCACGTATCAGTGAGTCAGAGGGGAAGGTAGAGTTAGTATCACCACCCGATTCCTCTCTCCCCCCCCCCCACCCCTCTCGGAAAAGTTACGTCAATTTTTACTTCGACAACTTGGGTAACAACGATACAAAATGTGGGAGTGCGTGAAAGCGAAAGACACTAAATGATATACATTTTAATGACAACTGCTATATACTCGAACAGCGGGACTCAGCCTGTTGGTGGCGACCCCTTTGGGGACCAAACGCCTAAGACCATCGGTAAACACATATTAATAAAGGAGAAACGAAAATACTTTGGTTTTGGGGGGGTCACCACAACATGAGGATCTGTATTAAAGGGTCGCGGCATTAGAAAAGTTGAGAGCCACTGCATTAGACGGTTAAAATATGTTTATTCTTCATCGCCGCTTTCTTAGACTAGTCTCCAGATCCATCCGTGACAAAACAACTGAAAACAAAGTCTCGTAAGTGCTACCCTTGTGAGGCGTCGAGGGTTAGTGCTACCCTTGTGAGTCGTCGAGGGTTAGTGCTACCCATGTGAGGCGTCGAGGGTTAGTGCTACCCTCGTGAGTCGTCGAGGGTTAGTGCTACCCTTGTGAGGCGTCGAGGGTTAGTGCTACCCTTGTGAGTCGTCGAGGGTTAGTGCTACCTTTGTGAGTCGTCGAGGGTTAGTGCTCCCCTTCTGAGGCGTCGAGGGTTAGTGCTACCCTTTTGAGGCTTCAAGGGTTAGTGCTACCCTTGTAAGGCGTTGAGGTTAGTGCTACCCTTGTGAGGCGTCGAGGGTTAGTGCTACCCTTGTGTGGCGTCGAGGGAGCTGTGTCACAGTGGTCAACTAAACTTTTTAAATTTTATTTCTGAAGTTAACTTTGTCAGGAAGCCCCGGCCACAACATCAAATGCAGCGTTCAAACTATGGGTCAATGCAAACATAGCTATATTAAAGCTCTATGCTTATTTCTTTGCCGTGCCTCGGTCCAACTAAAGACACTAACCCTATAACGAGACAAACTAACTGAGGGATAAGAATATCAATTTTTAAAAGTCATAAAATTCATACTTACGGTGAATTAAAAGAAAAAAAAGAAGAAAAATTAAACGAATTCACGTGTTTAGACGTTACGCTGCAAAGGAAGATATACAACATAAATATTTTTTGACACTTGAAACAACTAAGCGCACATTTCCATGCGCTTTTATGTAAGAATAATTATTCTGGTCACATTGACCGAATTTTTAAATTCTAGTTCATTCGTTTGGATATTTTAGCCATCTGAGACATGTTAGCAATATTAGCCATTTTAGCCATATTAAACTTTATGAGTCATATAGCTAAATGATCCATAATAGCCATGTGGTAATGTTAATTTAAAAGAAGCACACAAAAACTTAAAACATTACAAAAGCATGGTGATTTACTCGTATTTTTACCTAAGCTGGTCTTTTGCCTGCATATTATTATAGTTTGTTACTGAAGTCTGGTTAATATGGTGTATGTCTTCAAGTGTCTGCCAGTTCAAGAGATTATTTTTAGATGTCTCATTCAAGTATTTGGTGTGGGGACATGTTTGAACTTTTTTTCTCTATATATTTTACCTATAGTTTAGGGCCCACGATCAATTTATTGAACATTCTGGCTCCTGGGTTGAATTCAGAGTTTGCCTTCCCTTAGAGGCGTACCGTCCAAGACCAGCGAATTACGGGTGGCTTGAGATGTTTCTGCCTCGTCTTGGCTTTGGTGGGGATTTCGCTTAGAACCACCAGCTGTTATGATTGAGTCAGTTTAGATCACTCGCCCACCAAACACCCAAAATTAAAAGTTATTTCACATGATTCTGGATTTAAAAAAAAAATTAAATTACATTTTTCTACTGGAATATCCCCTTTCCTTGTCTGGCGTAATTTGTTTGACACACGTTACCACCTCCGCCAGTCGCTCAAATCTTCCTCCTGTTGCCCAGGAGGGTGGCATCTGAGTTGATGACACAGAGCTACAGCTCCGGTATACTGCGTCCAGAAATGGAGGTTCGGGTGTGTTGAGTTATAACGAAATAATAAACCAACAAACCAACTCTACCACTTCCCTAACGATTTTCGATAACCATCGGTCCTAACTGTAGGATTTAGGAATGGCAAAATGGAATCTGCTGGGGTGGTACATTTCGGCAATAATTAGACTATAATCAACCGACGGAAAGCAAACGTTAAATTCTATTTTTTTAGTTTTATGCCTGGGTCAAGAGATAAATCACAATACCAGGGATAAGTTACAGATTAAAATTTCATACAAAAAAAAACAACATTAAAATAAAAACACTTTTTAAAAAAAGAGTCCCTTTCAAAGACAGGTTTTAAATCACTAAAAAGTAGAAAATAATTTTCTTTAAAATTATCGATCTACAAAACTGCAGTTATTATTTTTCGTCCGTCGAGGATCGACGAGGACCATCGAGTCGTCTGGTGACTGATGACTTGCGCGGGTGACTTTGTTTAAAGTGTGGAAAAGTTGCTCGGCGTCTACCTCACTCTCTCTTCCGAGCCCACTATATCCAGTGGCAGGTCAACACGACCAGGGATGGGTTCGGTTGCAGGAATTGTCATTGTTTGACACTTACGGGACTCCAGCTCGGGGTTTTGAATTCAGAGTTTCCTTCTCTTAGATGAGTTGCCGACCAAGGATAACGAGTCTCATCCACCCGGGGTGATGTTTTTTGCTTCACTGGCCTTTGGCTGGACTTGAACACCAGACCACCAACTTGAGGTTTGCTCAGTTCAGACCATTCAGCAACCCGGTCACCACACAAAACTGCAGTATTCTCACATGGTCAATGCATGCAATGGCCTATTATTTTACTAAATTCAAAGAATAAAATATGGAACTACTCTTAAAAATAGCCGAAGACCATAGGGTTTCGCAATTTTATTTACACCTCCTTACAAATCTTGGTCATCTATGCCATGTAATTAGGTCCATGTATGCCATCTTTACCATCTAGGCCATCTAGGCACTCTGTGCAATCTCAAAATCAAAATTCAGTTCCCTCTCGAACTCCAGTACTCAATAAATCATTGATCAAATTATCGATAAAAAATTGAAAGGAGTTTGGAAAACAATGGTTTAGATAGTTGCCATGATAATACAGCCATTTTTTTTTCTTATGCTGTGTAACGAAATACATTATCTCGAGCAAAAGAGTTATAAATTTACTGTTTTTTTTTTTTTTTTTTGGTTTTTTTTTTTTTTTTTTTTATTCCGGGATTGGTTTATTTTTTTTTTTTTTTTC